GTTTAAATATTTAAATTTGTGGCTAATAAACTATTTATCTGAAATTTGATTTTTATAGATCCAATTGATTCGATTAATATTCTGCTTTAGAATACGAAAATAAAAATGTATTTTATCATTCAAGAGTAAATAACTTAATAACTAAAAAATGATAAAATTATTTTTCGAAAATTTCGTTTTGTAACGATTTAAAATTATGTAAAGAAATATGTATTTTCAAAAAAAGTTAGTGTTATCTGAAACAATGAGCATCTTACGTTAAAATCAGTACATACTACATACTTAGGTATAAATATAACAATAAAAATTAAATAATCTCTGTAATAATTTCATAAAGTAACTGCTAACACAAATATAGTTTTAATGTTTAAAAATGTATATTTTATTATGTTTTTAATATTTGGAGGAAAATAGACATGATTCTAGTTCAAAAAAATCTGTGACAAAAAATGGGATACTATATTTTGTTTTGATATTATAATAAGTATTAATAAATACTAATATTTTGAAGAAAACGTTTCCTATCCCCTAACTTAGATGACGAAATCCGTCAATAATATTAGTTCTAAGCGTAGATTAAGTTAAGTGTACACCAATTATTAATTATAGTATACTTTTCTTTATTTCTTTTTCAGAACATTTTTTTTAAAACTCGAGGGAAAATATTGTAATATTATTATTATAGGTTAAAGCGATTATTATTACGTGACAATAACGGCGTAAAGAATAAAGATACATAATCAGTAATTGCTAATTACTATTCGCAGTAAATAATTTAATTGCTCAAACCTCCTAAATATCAACAGAAAAAAAGAGATATATTTTATTAAATAAATAAAAACCATGCAAACTATTAATAATGTATAATATTTTAATTTTATTTACATAATATATCGTCATATTGCATGTCTCCAACCGCCTCATCACCGTGGCACAAAAAAATAAATATCCTTCTTATTATATTTATCAATTACCTCAAATCACGATCTTTGATTATTAATAATTCTCAACACTTCCAAAATACATAATTCGATATACCCACTGAAATTATGAAAACCGTGTACAATAGTTACATAGCCCATGGTTATCTATAAAAAAAAAATAAAAAAATTTAACCGTAATCGTATTATTATAGGTACAAATCGTGTAGGTATATATTACATAAACATAATTTTTCCATAATTTAAATAATAGTAAGTATAGTTATTTTAGATATATTATTTACATAAACATTGCAAATCAAATGCAATACTTACTTACCTAACATGACATAAAAAAAAGAACACGATTCAATGTTCCAATAGGTTCATCAATGTATAAACTATACATAGGCACATTAATAATTCCACTCTATATAGTAACAGAATAATATAATATAATGTCAATTCTTGATTGTCATATACATATTTTGAATTTTGACTTAATCAAAAAGATATAAAAGAGTTATTGCGGGTTTAGTACGTTTAAATGTCATTACAGAAATGTCTAGACGAAACGATAAAACCTGTAACACATAATATCTTAATATTTTATTAAAATTCATAGACAGCAAAATATGAATTCGAAAAAAACCAATATGAATCGTGTATTACGTAAAGTGTAATATTAGGTACCTACCTACGCCTTACGCCTTGTTTACATATTTGACATTTTTACATATTTATTTATTCTTTTTCATTCAATTTTTCAAAAAAAATCAGTACAATCATTCCATTTATTAAATATATATAAAAAATAAACCTAAAACTATAATATATACGTATAATATAGGCAGTGTCTAATTTACCAATTCATGGGCCAAGTATAATTTACAATCTTAGATCCCAAATTGTTTATTTCTATTTTTATCAATGCTAAAAAAAATGTATGCAAAATATATTTTTAAATTAATGTTATATGTAATAACTAATAAACATTAATAAATATTTATAAATGAAAAGTTGGATTATAGAATAACATTTTATTGTTAAAAATATGATTATGTAATATACAAGAACACTACACTTAAAATGTGTCTAATTAATGTTTAATATTTATTCAAGTTAAAAACAAATTAAAAAGTCAACGGTTTTTTTTTTTTTAAATAAAAATTAGTATTTTAATTATTATTTTTTACACTTATATATCAAACTAAATGTTTTATGTTTAAGTCAAATTTAATTTCAACTTTAAGGCCATCATTTTCGGGAAAAAGTCGTTATACTTAATAAATAATAACCCACCAAAATACCTAAGTAAAATTTATATCTATTTTGTTTTTCCAAAGTATGATAAAAAGGAATACAATTAATTGTATACGCTTGAAGTCGGTAGATCTTTCTTTTAAGTTGGCCCAGTGCAATTGTCCCATTTATCCTTGCATAAATATGGCACTGATTATAGGTAGGTACCTACCAAATTACTTACCGTAAAAACCATATACAGTATTGCTTGTAGGGCTGAACGTAATAATGTTTATCAAAAAAATATATAGTTCGTTTGGGTTATCGCCTATCATTTATATAGTTTGGGCGAGTAAAATGATTTTTACCTGCGCGAGTTATATTGACTAATGACATCCTTGTATTGAAATATTACTATACCAATACCTTAAAATATTATGGTAATTAACTTTGCTTATTTAAAATGATTGATAGGTATTACTAAAATAGTATAGATAGATTTCAAATACTACAAACTAACAACCCATGTAAACATGTAATTAACTAAATAAGTATTGCGAATGAATAAATAATAATTATAATATAACTATAGGTACTCGCATAAATAATATTAAATCGTATTATTTGCGTTAACGTTAATAAATATTTATTTTATTTAACCAGTATTTTAATTTTTAACTTATAACAAAGTATTCACTAAATACAAAGAGAAAAATAATTTTAATAATTAAATAATAATTATACAACTATAAAATTAAGTAGGTAAGTACTTACTCAAAATATGGAAGTTCAATTTCTTATTTTAACTCGATTTATATAAACTTCTGATAATATTTAAAATAATATTCTCCTACTTTTGATTTATTTAAATTTAAACCTATTTTGTAAAAACTACAATTTAGATTAAATGTTGAATATTAAATGATGGCAAGATGGACCTTTTATAAATTTTATTAAAATTAATGATGATAAATGAATAAAATAATATCTTTTAGATTCTGAACGAAGATATAATAAAAGTAATTTCTTAATGATTAGTGATTTATCTTTTGGAGCAATGAAAACTTTGAAGGTGGTTTTTGACAGCGAATTTGATTTAGTTGGTACTTCGGTGAGAAGGGGGTCAAAAGTAAAAATTTTCTATAATTTCCTTAATATTCGGGAAAAATAAAAATAAATTAAAGAAAAACGAGAAGTTCTAAGTCAAACTTATTTTCAACAAAATTAATTTTTTTATTTTGTTATAATTAAAAGTAAATAATCATAGAAACTTAAAAATGTCATCAAATATTTATATTATCATTTGCTAAACATACCTAGTATAATTTTCAAGAATATATTTTAAAAAAAAACTTTCACACGGTTAAAATATCTGAAATTTTAATACACGATTCCTCATAGCTTAGGAGTCATAAGTTATAAATAGAAATTAAGTAAAAAGAATTGAGCGTCAAATTTTTTTTTAGAAACATTTAAAGTTTAATTTTTAACAAAATTTATTGAAATCGCAAGTTTTGTCATTTATTTTGTTGATAGAAATTCATTAAATTTTGAATATTCGTACCTAAGATTCAAAAATTTAATATAAATATTTTACAATTTATGTTAAAAAAAATTCCAACAGAAAGTAAAATTAATTTTTTATGTATGTTTAATGTTTAAATCTTTAGAACATTACATATCCATCTGTAAAATAACTATTTCCGCCCAATCAATTTTTTAATATAATATGGTATAAATGTATACTATTATAATAATTAAATATTACTAATATAATCAATAAGATGTTTTTAGCAAAAATTTAATTAATTTAACAATGTAGGTAGGTAATGCTAATAATAGTAAAATTAATTACTCCAATAAAAATATCAAAAAACACATAATTTATACATAATACAGGCTAACAGACTGTCTTTGTTCAGAATCATTTCAAACCATACATCATTAAATTTAAATTAAACACATCCATCACAGAGACCCATTCAACACCTAATGTACAATAGAGCAATAATCCACCTGCCCATCAACCCACTTTAAAAATAATACATTTTTGTAAATTATTATATGCAATATAATAGTAGTGTATAATATAGACATAAGTTAGTGAATATAATATAGCTGCTACCTAAGTAGTTACTACCAATCCAATATTGACTTTAAAATGAAAAATGTCAGGATTTTGACTGATCAAATATTTAAACTGTAATAATTTAAAACCTATGAGTATGAAAAAAACTGAATCGACAATTATTTAATAACTATTTCTTCACATAAATATAATATACTGTATTTTAAAATATAGAATGCAATTCATCAATTTATTAAATACTATAAACTATAATTTATAATAAATAATTTTAAAATACTTAAAATAAAAATAATTATATTGTATACAGTGACAAATTGGCAAAAGGTACAACAAATCTTCAAAATAAATTTACTTTAAACTTTCCATACTTTTTAAAGCTTTCATATAGTTTATTAAGAAACTACTCCATATTCAAACATGTTATTGGATAGTGAAGATAGTGTATTAGCTTATTTTTTAATTAAAATGTATAATATATGCAATGAAACACATTAGCTATCTACATATTTATTATATAATATCAATAATGAAAATTAGCATTCCAAGAATACATCCCCTTTTTTAACATATAGCAATGAATGTCATTAATTATATTATTATTTATTATGTATTTATGTACATAATATTAAATTTTATCATAATATAACATAGTATATTAAAATAATCAAATTATAAAAGAAAACAATGTATTTAATTATAAAATTCATAATATTTCATTATGGCATTAATTTATGTTCAGATAAAAATTTAAATGTATTATTTAAATATAATTAGTAAACTTATACTAATATTTAAAAAATTGTAAATATTCATATTGTTTTTAAGCTTGTAAAACTGGTCTTGCGTTTTTTCCTTGCAAATTCACATTTGTTGTTGCATATCCTGTTCCACCCTAATAAATAAATTTTAATAATTAGTAAGATACAGGAAAAAAATTACCAATATATTATATAATATATATTCTTTACCCTTTGTAAAGGTATAATATCTTTTTCTGTTAATTTTTCTCCATTTAAAGGATGTAGCCAATCTTTTTTAATTAGCTTCTCAAAACATTCCATGGTAATCACATGACCACTAGAATTAACAGAGTAAGTTAATTTTATATTTGTGTAATTTTAAGTGCACTAAAATATTGTCTATAAAAAGATTTTTACGTTGTACGAATAACGGCTGCAGGTACAGCATTACTTAATATATCATGAGTCACTGCACACATGTAACGATTTTCACGAACTGCTAATGATTTTTTATCACTAGGGTCATTTACTAGAGTCCACTTCACATCCACAAAGTTTTTTAACTTCAATGGTTTGCCACTCATTGGACAATAAATAGTTTTATCCTTCAAAACAGAATACATACAAATAAAACTCAATTATAATATTTTATAAAAGAGAAAAATATTTTTAAATAAAAATATAATAATTAATTCTGCATATTAAGATAATTAAGTCTTATACAGCCCATTTCATAACATAAACACTTTTTTGACTAGGATATTTTGTTTAAAATCAAAACCTTGAACTAGATTACATAAACAAACTTACTGAAATAATTAACCATTAATTGTAAAATTGCACATTAAATCAATGAGTTAAAGTGACATTATCTAATAAATGAACTCTAATTCATAAATATGTTATGGTGGAGATTTATTAATTCAATTATTTAATAATAATATAAATTGTAATATTATAATTACTGGTTTTTGCATAGGTGCTTTATTAGCATCAGGTGTTTCCGATGGTACCCAAAAGCTTGGCAAATGCTTATCCAAACCATTAACCATGTTTGAAATAGATGATACATTTTTTTCTGATCGTTTTTGAGATTTCATTTTGTAAATATCATTTTGTCTTTTCACCATACTTTCTCTTTTAAGAAAATCATTGACTTTGGATTGCTGTTCAGCTCTCCCTAATTCAGCTAATTCTTCTTCTTGCTTGTGTTTCTGTTTTTCATACTCCTTCAATTTTCGACAGTATTCATTTTTTTTGGTAATCATATATTGCAATAAAGCTTCTTTATCAAATAGGTGACCCTCAGGGCTACATAATAAAATAAAAATTATCATAAAATTTAATTTTTATGGTTAATAATTACCACTAAATTTAAACTCACGAAACAATTGGAGTTCTGCAAGGTTGTAAAGTCAATGAACAACAGTCAAAGTTTTTAATTGAGTCTTTACCAACACGTTCATTTTGAGTTCCATAGCCAGACTGAGAAGCGTCTTTTTGCTTCTCATGATATGTGTAAACAGCACCTGCTGTACAGTTTCTAGCATGTCTTGTCATCTTACTTAGTATTACAACACTATACGTCAATTCAAAACTAACAGCTAATAAAATAAAAAAGTACAATAAATAATATTATTACTTACCACTCAAAAATTAAAATAGATTATTATTACAAGGTATTATGTACCTAATAACAAATAGATCTGTTTTCAATCGTAATTCAGTTATATATAATAATATATATTATTCAATATTCAAAATTGATATAATTTAATACCTTAAATTGTGATTTTTATACACGAATATCGGAATATCACATTATCAAACTTTTTGTCTGAGAAATTAACAAAATACTTACAGTAATTTTTATTGTTACCACATTTGTGTGTCGAGGTGGTTAATAATTTTTATCAGTTTATCATATTGACAGTTATAAAAAAATATTTAATATGAATAGTTAATAATCAACAATAATATTATGATGAGATGAAATATTGAAAAATTAGAATCACGACACAACATGTCAAAATTAATTTTATTGTTAATTATTTCATGTAACGCACGATGTGATAAGTGATTTCTGAATCACATCATCATCTGTTGTCTTCATAGTGCTTCTTACCATGGCTCTACGGTACAACATGACAAATTTGCGTTAAGATGATTCTGAATTAATTTTGTATTTTTATTTTTCATGCTGTTAACTTATACATTAGAGTTAGTTGACGTATTATAAAAGTTTAATCATAAACTTTTATTGATATTTTCATTTTTTTATGTATAAAATGGATTTTGCTATAATGCAAATTTGGTATGAATCTATGATGTACGGTTTTTAGTCGAAGATATACATACGAGTACGATATCTTCTTGAATCATGAGTTCCACTAACACTATCACATTTACATTAGATTTATAAACAAATAAATTTAGATAATTTACACTAAAATATATCACGATATACAATTTATAATGATCTTAATCTGTTTAATATTGTGATGTAAATTATAGCTATATCTGTTAAGCGTGTATTATTGAGATTATTAGTTATTACAGCATGAATACAATAAACATATGTATGTAGTATGTAAATTTATCTAAAATAGGATATAATTGAAATAATTAATAACTATAGAAATGGAATACATAAATATGACTATTTAATATTAAAATTTCAAACAATAATATGGTAACATTAATACGTGAACTTAGTAAGGTGTAAATATAAATTTAATAATATTATATTGTTATTTTTTTTTTTTTTATCAATAAAATTTATTTTTCTTGCAATTTCTGCTTTTTAAAATTAACATTGTGATTTTTTTCAAAAAAACATTAACCTGGAACAATTTTTAACAGTATTATGTTTCTATTACAATTATAGGATCATAATATTTGTATATAATACAGTGACTATAATATCAAATAGGTATCAATAACAAAATTTTAAACATTGAAATTCAATAATAATAATTAAAAATTTCAATCGTTTTCAATTTTTCAAAAACTACATGAGCATTCTAAAATTTACTTTATCAAAGCTCTATATTCTGTTAAATTTTTTTTATCTCTAGTAATTTAATATTAACTACCCATAACTTTTTTAATAAAATTTCATAGAAATTTTAAGTAAAAAAATACATTCAACATAGTAAAATGTTGTAATTATTATGAAAATTTATATATTCTATATAAAGCAAATTATTTGGTAAATATCAGTAAATAATATAAGATTTAATATTTAAATATTTTAGAAATAAAATTATTAAAAAAATATAACAATAATTTTAATACATCAGAGTAAATACAATAAAAACATATATAGCAAATAATCATATGCAATAAGTGAAGTAATATAATACATTATCAAACTAACTGGCATAATTTAATATAGAAAAAATGTACAAATTACTAAAAATAAGACAAATTTAGCAAATGTTTGTTAGAATAAGACAATATCAATATTATATTATGTAATTAAAAAAACTATGAAAGCTTAGTAATTAGTTTTATATTTTTTAATCTCTATCATTATAACGTGTATATTAGGTAACTGTGCTTTGTTTGGAGCTAATAAAGCTTTTTGAAATTTATGATAATAATCAATTAACTGTGAAAATGCTAATTGTAAAAGAGAAGCACCAGTCGTTAGATTAGGAAATGAAGGTAATATTTCTTTATTTATTTCTTCTAAAGACATCTTCCAGGTAGATGTAAATGTCTTAGCCAATCCTAATTGCCTTGAATCTGAATCAATATCTTGGCCATTTTCTGCATCTGTAACAAACTTCATCATTCCGCCAAAATATACTTGAAGTACTTCATCAACATAATCTTTACTTCTTGCTGAAAGCTCTTCTTTAAATCTATCCACTTCAAATGTACTATCTCTAACACGTTCCATTAGTATTCTCAATACTAAATCATAATTATTAATTAAAAATATTAAACGATCTTTACGAGTTCTAAACATAGTGGCGAGACGTAAAACAAACCCTAAAACTTCTTCAGTTAGGCTACAAATTAATTCAGGTTCACATTTATTATTTTCACTGAATGAAACTATAGCTGACACAAGTTCAGCATATCGTCTCATAATAAAGTGGGGTTTCTTTTCTTTGTTAAACTTGGAAATATCATAATCTTTAACACTTTGAATATGTCGTTTAAGTATAAATCGAAATCTAGTTCCAATCATAGCAAGAATTGTATCCCAATATTGTGCCAGTACAGGAACTAAACGATTTTGACAAAGAGCTTGATAACGCATACTTAACTGGCCACATAAAAAAAGTGCCAATGCATCATAACAGTTTTCAACAAAATTTTCTAAATGTTTAATTAAAAGTCCAAGAGTTTTACCCATAATTTGAGAAAATAGTCCCTGGGCAGTAGGCTGATCAACTTTAAAAAACTCACAATCAAATTTATATTCTCGACAAGCGTTATCTACAAGAGCATACTGGACTGATCTAAATATTGCCTCAAATGATAAATTGGTCAAATTATTTTGATGTGGTATGATAATTGAATTATCTATTTCATTAAGAACAGATGCTCTGTTTCCGATGGTAAAAACAGTATTTTTTTTGATTGATTTTTGAAAAAGAGTACGTGATGTTGGATCTTCTACTGCTAACAAATCATCCTTTGTAGCTGCTTCTTCAAATTGTAATTTCTGTAAATAACTCAAGTATGATTTAAAATAAGTAAAATAAACTTTACTCAAAGCATCAACATAGTCATTATATATTTCTTGAGCAGATATTGAATCATGATTGAGCAAGAACTCAAACAGAAATTTATACTCAAATAAGGTGTTTTGAGGTATATGATAATTTGTAGTAGGTTTCTTAAATTTATTTATCTGTTCCATAATGAAATGCCTAATTTTTGAAGTAGCCGTAATTTTCAATTTTTCATACACATCTTTGACATCGTTTTGTGATTTTATATCTTTGAAATTCTGTTCATCAACAAACAATATTTTGTAATTCAATACAGATAAATGTGTTGAAAACTTTTCATCTGTCACTGAACATGTAGTTATGACTGATATGAGTGTTTCAGATACAATTACATCTTCTATAAATTGATGCATGAGTCCTTTGAAGGACTGTCTATTACATAGTTGTTGAGCCATAAATATTGATCTCTGCTGTAACCTAGTAATTTCATTTGTTATATTTTGCAATTCCTCTTGAAAGGTATACAATACTGATTCTGTGTGTTCCAATACATTTTCACAATGATTCAAATGTTTATGTAATGTCACTATTTGATCTCCAGACTTAATATATTTTTCCACATCGAGATTTTCATGATATTTCAAATCAGATTCTACTTGCTGAGAATAATTACGTAAGTCGGTTTCCGACTTGAGAATTTGATCCAGTACATTGTCATCTAGTTCAATAAATTTCTTGTCCATATCAATATAAACACGAAATTCCACAATATCAAAATTAAACTATGTCGACGTACTTAATTCAATCGCAAACACACATTGAGAAGAAAAAAGAAAGAAATTAAAAATTAATTATTAGTGTGACATGACGAGTGATTTAAAGATTCACATAATAAGTTTAAAATGTATTAAAGAACTTTACACATGATGTAGTTTAGTTTTCAATAACAAATAAATATCAAATAGTAAATACTGAATACCTAAGAGCATAAATTAATGAACAGTATATTATAATTTACGTGGATCCATACAGAGTAGTGAACACTGACGTAGTGCCATACCGAACTGATTGGCGCCGATTACTGACAACTGACAAGTAACTATGTGACTTGTGACTATAAAAAAAAAAAAATAGTGACTGACTATATACAAATTGTAGTACAGTAGCGCAGATTATAGTATTAAAATAATTGTCATCTTATACTTTATAGCACAGCTGTTATTGTTGAATTGTATACAGATAATAAAAATTAATTTTATCTTTTTGAGTTATTATCAACAAAGGTATCAACTATCAGTGTAGTGAGTACAACACAACAGAACAATATTTACTCTGAAAATACGGTACGATAACGACTTTGATGTTTAATATGTTAAATGTTTATCGTTCATATATATAACGACTATAAATACTTCATGTCTGTTTATTTTATACCTTTACTGGAATAAGAATTAAGAAGATAATGATATGAAGACCTGTCGAATAACGTTATGTGTTTCTTTTTGCACTGCTAGTTCCTGATCGCTGTGCATACAGTAGCCAATAGTAGCAATTATTTAGCAACATCCGTATGCGCATAAAAAAATTGTTTAGACTACCTACGCCCATTGTGTGAAATTGGTCGTCTTCTTATTCCGGCCAAGGTACTTTAGTGGGTTCATATGCGTAATATACAAAAATGTATAGATAAAAGTGGCACTCGTATCGCAGATTGTATGAAAATGTAATCTATTCTGTCTCTGTGTTCGTATTGTGATCATATCACAATGTAGTATTATTTTTTTTATAGAAACTATAAACACTAAAACACATAATTAATACGTATACAAAAATCATAGGAACCAATCATGATAAAAAAATAAATCATTTAACAATTCACAATAAAAAAAAAAAAGATTAAAGCTTGTATGAATCAAGGATGTGCAGATAAATCAACCAAAATAAAATCCTCAAACAAAGATAACGTAATATATTCAAATTTATTTGTGTTAACGAGTTTATCAGCGTAGTTTAAAATTTTTAGGAATAAATTTATTATTCTCGCACTTTTTCATTTAGATTTTAGAACTACAAACATTTTGCACAAGGCATAATTTAATCAAAAAATTATATTTTAAGAATATTTACTATATACTTGAAATTTTAAGCTAGAGTATTTAAGTATATAATTATTATTCAACTAACTAGGTATACTCCTACACCATTCATATAAATTAATATTTTAATATATTTTATGCAAATTAAAATGTTGGCTTAAGTGTTATTGTACAAGTTATACACACACTATAGACACTTATTAGTAATTCTTATTTATTTATTATTGTAACCTAGAGCAGTCTAAAAACTGATCAAATTATGTTGTGACTTGTGAGATATGAGCATCTAGCTGACAGTTTTTTATCAAATTATTCAGAAAGTTTGGGAGTTAAACTTATTTTGCAATAAACTATGGACTCTTCAGGTCTTTTTGTCCATCTATTCAATGTAGAAGTTTTTTAAATATTTCTTTAATTGCAATCTAGTAATAAAAATGTATGTTAATTGGACTTATATTGCATGTATAATATATTGATATAAAAAAAGAAACTTTTAAGTTTAAGATTATTTTTTAAAAATATTTTTTTATTCTTAAAACTTTAATTTTTTTTTCATGATAGATATATATTAAAACCAAAATTAAATTTTGTTGTAACCACACAAAATCATCAAGTGTTTCATGACACAGAACTGATTACAAAAAAAAATATTGAACTTTAATTAAAGATAAGACCTTTATTTTATTATTGAAATATATTATTAAATAATACTTTGAATAAATTAAATTTTATCATTTAATAATTATAATTTTAATCTGAAGTACATCAATATTAAAATAAAATTGTAATAATTAATGCAGTAAATTAAACAAAAAGTGATTGGAATATTCAGTCAAAACTTTTTTTATACCTAAATGCAATATCAACAAATATATTAAAGCTACTTATTGACTTTTTAATAATATAATTTAAGAACAATATCATTATATTAATAAATTAAAATTAATAGTTGATACATAGAGTAATAATTTCTAAGTGTATATAAATTATTAAATCGAATGACAATTTTTATTTTTAATATAATTTAACATATCATAGTGTACTTTTCCAACAGGTGAATAATAAAATATTGTCTCATTTTCTTTTAATAATAATTTGCTTTGTTCCAATGAATCATCACTTATATTTTTGCATTTCAAATCATTAATCACGACATTTTGAACTTTTGGCAGTGGATTTTTAATCAACATACAATCAAGTTCTTCATCTTCAAATGTTAAATCAGATAATTTAATTTTTTTTGAATTTCTTGATTGAATTACATCTGTATCTGAATAACATTCAGAATTAAATTTTTTTGATGAAAGTTCATTTGAATACTCAGATGAGCTATCATCAGATAAATTGCACCTCAAATCATCGATTTGATGTTTTTTTCGTTTTAAATGTTTTGAAATATCCATATTTGAATATTCAGGTGAGCTATCATCAGATAAATTGCACCTCAAATCATTGATTTGATGTTTTTTTTGTTTATGTTTTGAAATATCATCAACGCCAGAATTTAATTGAGATGTACTCGGTTCATATTCCATACTATTGAAATAATTTACTTTATGGTTTATTTCATTCTTTTTTTTCACAATTGTCTTATTATCATCTATTATATTGTTATCAATTGCTCCAATTTTTAACATTGCCTCACACATAGCTCTAAATGCAATTATTTCTGCATCTTGGTCTTTATCCTGTAATTCAACATATTGATATTGAATAGGAAATTCAAAGTCAATTTTAGGAGAAGGTTGATTGAATTTTTCTGATTTCTTTAAATCATCAATAATAATTGAATTCTTGTCTTTTGTATCCGAATTTCTTAATTCATTAATCAAAGGTAGTGTTGAAATTACAGTAGAATTATCTATATCTATTTGTTTAATAGTGTGTGTCTTAGTACTATCTGAATTTAATGTTGGTGACAATGCATGTAATCGTTGGACAGCTTTGCATAAATTTAATTCCATAAATTCTTGGGTATCTAAATCTAATACTTCAGTACTAGAAATATGTCCATTTATTTTTTTTATCACTTCTAATAATAAGTTTTTTTCTTGACTATTCAAATCAGTTTTATCATGGTTTATTTTATTTATTATAAATTTACACTCTGTTTGGTTTAAATCATTTGAGTCATGTACAATATTAGTTCCAATTAATTTGTTGTCATCTGTATTGATTAACATAGTAGAAGTTTCAAAATTATTTTTTCCATGAATATTAGGCAAATTTAATTTATCAGAACTGTTCATATTTTCAGAAGAATGTGAAATATCTGAAAGTGACATTTTGCAACTTTCTGAAAGTTCATCTTCATTTATTAAATTGATTTGTTTATTGCATAGATGATCTATTAGATTCTGAAACATAATATTATATCAATATTACATCATGCATATTATATTTAAATATTAAAATTTATTAGCAAACTTACAGAGTAAAGTTTGTAAATTAACAACTTAAATAACTTTAGCATTTTAAAAATTAATAATCTAATTATACTTAAAAGTTATAGCTAAATAAATAACAATACAGTTAATGAAAGTAATAATTAATTTTAAGAGGCCACTTACAGACAAATAGTATAATTTAGTTTATAGTTATGTCATTCATAGACTAGTTTTTTTTATACAAATTATACAATAAAAATTTAGTTTTAATATTTCAAAAACTATGAATTCTAAACAAAATTAATATCTATACAATAATAATATGTAGTTATAAAAATATTTATAAATTATTTAATAAGAAAAAGTTGATAAGCATTAATTATATTAATATATTATATTGTTTTATACAATTTTTAATAATTTATTAATACATTTATTTATTTATTTTATCATAAACCTGTAATTTATATAGGTACCAATATTTTTAATAACTTTTACTTGTTATGTTTATAATATTTAAACAGGTATTATTACATTAAAATTAGAGATACTAATATTTTTACTCACATTTTAACTCTATTTTTATAATTTCAGACTATACCTACAGATGATAAGGTATTTGGGCTTTAACTATAACTGAAAAGTTACAAAAACATCTAAACAAACTATCTATTTTTTACTCCAAATAGTTATGATAAAAAGTTATAAAGAACTAAATAGTTGAAAAAATATGTACGAGTTATATCATGGCTTACATAGAACATACCTCTTGATTTTTTTTTAATATTTATAATACTAAATAAATATACATAATTAAATTTTCTACATCAAGTAATTTGATAACAATTTTTATTAATGTTAAGTATTTTTTTTTAAGTTTATAATTTAAATTAATAAATTAATTTAAATTCTTAATAATCAAAATACTTCTAATCAACAAATTAACAGCAGAAATTATGCTATAAAATTCAGATTTTTTTTTATATAACACGAAACTATCAATCTATCTATACTAATAATTAATTAACCTAATCAAAAATATGCTATACATCCTTTAACACGTCCTGTTAAATTTTAAAGGTATTGCTTATAAATTACTTTTTCCACGTAGACTTATAGTCAACATTACTCTCATCACATTTGTATAATATTATATTGTATATCTTTAACATATTGAATAGATTTTACGTATCTTTTGAATAATAAAAGAAATAAATAAGTATATTAATATTAGGTATATTTAATTATTTTTAAATTTCTTAATTTAAATACAGAACACTTTACATCGGCTTTGTGTCTGTCACCAGTTAATAATTTACCAGTAAATAGTTACAATAATTGTTATTGATGTTAAGAATAAATTATATAAATCCTAAATTTTCTAATGGTTCTATTCAAAGTAAATTGATACTAGCCAGTAATAAGAAATACTAAAACATGAGTAATATAGATTTAGTTAGCAATATTAAAAAAATATGTTAAAATTTTGAATCTCAAGTTTAAAAATTAAATTAAATTATTCAATTTTGTATAATCAAATAATTTGATAATTTGTTCAATAAGATATTTTAGGTATCTATTATTTTCATACCTTAACCTTATATAATTATATACCTATTATTAATATATTAGCTACTGACTAATACTTACTTCTTTTGACATATCTACTTAAATCTGTTAAAATTATTTTATATCAATTGTATATTTGCATGTACTTTGTTGGTAAGTTTAATTAGTTAACTACTGTACTGTCTTTAATAAGAATATACAATCTTAATATTTATATTTTATCATTTTTATCATTTTATAAACATTTATTAATTTATTATCTATCTGCTATAATCACAGATATCTGTGGCTTATACTCATAGATGGAACATTCGACAGGATGGAGGCGGGTGATGCGGTAAAAGCAGTGATGTAAATTATCTAGTACAAAATATTTGTTCTAATAAAATAGTAAATACATTTAAATAGATATTATAGTAGATTATATTGTAAAACTAATATCTCTCTTGAAATGTTCAAGAAGCTTAATATTTCCACCAAATTTTTGACTATTGATCTGATTCAGTTGCATAATCAAAATTACTACAAAATTGAAAAAAAAAATCATAAAATCATTAAAAAACACAAATGACATAGTTAATAGGGGAGTCAAGCTAATAGTAGAAATTTACAAAAAACAAAGAACAAAAATAATTCTTATTACAGACAAATAATTTAACTATAATTAACTTAAATCTAACTTCAAAATAAATATCATTACGTTTTCTAGATTGTTAAAGACTATTGAAAGATATATATATATATCCACAAAGTGATAGACAAACACTCAAGAAAACATTTTAGAAGTCAATAATTCATTATTGGTAAAATTAAAAATAATGATAAAAAAAATCAATTTTTTTTATTAATATATTGTTATTTCTCAAAAAATGTAGGTAAATAAAACCAAAATCTATAAAAAAAAATTGATCTTATGATATTTTTAGTGTAAGCCTATTTTTTAGAATATTAAATTCCGTGTTATAATTATATAATGTATTTTATCATACATTCAAACGGACGTTATGTATATGTTACGGGCAAAAGCCGAAATCGGGCAAACCTCAGAAATGCCCGGACAAAACGCGAATTGCCCACAATCCTTGGGCAAAAT